GCAAACAAACAGGAGGATTAGCTAAAGAATCGTGTTTGTCTCCATGTTTAGCTAATAACTATATAGCTCAAATGTAATCCGGCTTTTTCAAGAGTCACTCAGATATATGAATGATTACTTTGCTATTTGGCAGCAGGTCGAAGAGTGTTTGGATGGCTTCCTTTGTTTAATGAATAGAGAAAATACGGGGACTAAATTCACTATGAAGTTAGAAAAAAAGAATAAGTTACCCTTTTTAGATGTCCTAGTTAGTAAAGAAAGGAGCAAACTAGATAGATATGTATATAGGAAACCCACAAATACTGGTTTCTTTCTTAATTTATTCTCGAACCATACTTATGGTGTTAAGGTAGGCGTAATTAAATCACTGATAATAAGGAGTTTACGCCTGTTGGATGCAAATCATCAAGAACAGGAGTTAGAAAGGCTAAGAAAAATCTTAGTTGAGAACATTTATCCTGTAGGATTAATTGTTAACACTTTCAAAATACTGAGAAATAGAGTAAAGGTAAACCATAATTTGGTCAAAACAAGGAATAAGACAATTATTCGTACAGGTTCCTAATGCTACCATCCTGCAAGCCTTCAAGAAAGATAAGCGAATTATAGAGGAAATGAAGTTTCAGGGCAATGTATAAAGAAACAATAACGCTTTCCTCAAGCATGCCGTCTTTTAGAGAATCTTCCGATGCCCTCTCCAGATCAGGTTGCTATAAAGTTTTGTGCTCATATGGTAGTGCTTATGTGGGGGAGACTTGTAGTCATACATAAGAGGCAATCAAAGCAGAGAACCTATTGCAAAGGTTCATGGATTCCGAAATCGTAAGTTGCAGAACATGTGGTCGCTACAGGACACCAGATAGAGTAGTCCAAATCCCAAAGTTTTGCCAGATATGAGGATTTCACAGCTAAGCGGAAGATCAGGAAGTCGATTTAAATTAGCAAAGCAAACAACATCCTGAATAAGAGGAATAAATGTAGGAAACTAAGTAAGAACTATCTCTGGCTTATATATAGAATCAGAGAGAGAAGGAAAAGGAACAGGAAGAGACACTAAATAAGAGAAAACTAGACTAAACTGGAACTTGTTTTGGAACCTAAAATTGTCAACTAATTCAGGGTTGTTGCATACACACGGAAACACACATCCACGAAGCTGTAACAAAACGCAGGACTACTGGATCATACTCTAGTCTATTTAAATTGACAAAAGTTGTGACCACATCCGCTTCCCTGCCTGCATCCCTTAGATATACTTACATGCATGTAGGACAAACATACGTAAGTCAGTAATATAAGATGTATTCACCCTATTTCGTCTAAGGTGATGAAGGACAGGTAGTAGAATTTTCCCACAATGATATAAGTTGAGCTGACGTTTCCACTGGATTTCACATAGACTTGCTTTCACAAAAGTTGTTCTCATTCAGGGTGGACTGCAGTTTCGACCTCGCATCGGTCTTATAAACACCCACAGCGGCAGTCGAACCGCAACAGTTCAGGATGGGAGCTTGACACGCTAACCACGTCAGTCAACCAAATAATGGAATGACTCATTAAGATCTCAAAAAGAGGTATAAGAAGTAAGTAGGATCTCAGCTGGCCACCTTTTATCGGTTTAGTGTTTTGGTGATTTTTCGTGAATAATGATTTCTGGCTCTGACGGTGTCCATCACAGGACGGACGAAAGCTCAACCCGTATTCATCGGGGGCGCAAGATGGTGATCCGAGGTCTACTTCGCACAATTCAACAGATAAAAGTCCAAGGCAATCATCCTGCGATATCCGGTGAGGCCAATCTACGAATTAGTTCGGCCCGCCTTCTCAAACGAAATGAAAGGCACGCCAGTATCAAGATAAAACTGCCGTTTATTATGGTTTGCAACGCTCTTCTGGGATGCATCGCTCAATCAAGTTCATTGACATAATCGAGCCATCCTTATTGCTGTTTGCTACATCATACGACATATATTGTAACTAATAAGAAACTGAATTTTTTTTCTCTTAGATTTTAATAAGATAAATTTAGCAGTATCTTATTTTTGGCTTGTTTTGCGTATCTTGGATAATCCAGAGCTTAATAAAGTATTTCATCATTTTTCAGAAGAATTTAGCTGTCCAATCCTCGATTTCTATATACTTATTTTGTATAACCCAGTCAGTTCTTAATTTTGAAAAACTTGGTCAAATTATTCACCTTAAGACTTTTACTTTGGTGTTAAGCATGACCCTCCATAATGATGATGCCGAATATGGTGTAATTGAAAACATTTGGGAGTGCCCTATTAGCCCTTAATGCTGAAGAAATAAACAACTACGATGATAGAAGATGAAATCATACGAAGTCTTCTTTTAAGCATGTCGGTATATAAATGTTAAATAAAGTCCAACACACATTCATTCGAAAATCAGTTTTTCTACATACCTAATACATATTGTTTGGTATTGATAGATATATTCGCCAAATTTACTATGTCGATTCAAACTTTCTCTAAGCCGGTTCTCGAGGGAAGATTGAACAGTGAAAAGATGAATATCAGAATCCACTGAAATGGTAAATATTTTAATATCTAGGAAAGAAGAGGCTCATTGGGGTGGGGGAGAAAGCGAATCAAATGAAGATTCCTTATTATTGAGATGTATGCACCCTATTTCGTGTAATGTGATGAAGGACAGGAAGTTCAATTTTGCCACAATGATATGAGAAGGCCTTATATTTCTATCTAATTTCGCATAGTCTAGCTTCCCAAACTATAGTTTCGACCTCGCCTAGATCTCATCAACACCTATAACGACACTTGAACCGGACTAGTGCAGTTTACAACCTCGACACGTTAACCACCGAGCCAAACTGCCACGAATGTTCTTGGGTAACAGTGCGGAGACGAATTTCAAGAAAAGCCAGGACTTTTCCCATATCCAATTATGTGATGAGATTGTTGATGAAACAGTTGTATTTGCTATGGCAATCAATTACATTAATTATTTTTCGTTTATAAGGTTTTATAGACTATCAATAGATCTAATAGAAGGACTGTATTAACTCTATTTCGGTTAAGGTGATGAAGACGTAATGGTTAATATGTCGAGATTAAAGACCGCACTATCAGGGTTAAGTCCCGCCGTGGTGGCCTAAGCGAGTTTTAAGCTGCAGTTCATCCTGGATAAGAATATATTTGAGAAACAAAGCTAACTGAAATTCATCCTAATAAGAAATTTAGTTGGAAAATCACAATATGGAGCCTATCAAAGTTCATGAATCAGTTGGAGAATTGCTAAATAAATCCTAAAGCGAGAAGACCAAGATTAAAACAAATCCCAAAAACTAAAACTAGATAAATACCTTGTAAAACTGCTGTACATTTGATACGTTAGTAACCAGATGCTGGGATTTTTGCAAATAAGGCAAGATCCGCAGCTGGCCCGACTATCTCTTGAGTATCAGTCTAAATGAACCACAAATGGATCTTGAAACTAAAGAGAAGAAATTGTTTTAATAGACTATATCATGAGTGCCTAAAATTATTAAGTGAACTCCTCTCAGAGACTAAGCTATCACCTAGCAACTGAAAAAGGGTCTGGAATATGTACTTCATTATCGGGGAAGAATTCATTATTAATAGATTTTGAGATAGGCCCAAAAGTTTAGCGATACAATAACAGATGGTTTTGCCATATAACAAATACCAATATATCACATCAAATACAAGCTGATAAGTCAAAAAAACTCATTACCTTATCCTTATGATTTTTCAGGTATCGAGTAATTGGCTCATGTTCTCTGCCTATTCAGGAATATGTTAGTATGTGGCTTTATTTACGCGCATGGGTCTATGTGAATTATAACTACTACTTCAAAAAAAAATCATTTGCTATAAAATAGAATGGTAGGGAAGGAGTAACGATTTAAATCACCTAAATTGGGAGTCAAAATGAGTTAAATACGATATCCCCTCAAAAATAAAGCTAAAAAATTCGAAGTGGTCTACCTTCGAACTAAATAATAAGATATAAAGAGAAACATGGTTCCGATGAATCTCCTGAGATAACATTGCTAGGGAAACCTTCATTTCGTATAAAAGTGCATGAAGAAGAGATTCGTTGGTCGATCTCACCAGATGAGGACGGATGACCTCGTACTGAAGCTGTTTGGTTTTTATACGATATTCATGTTGACGTAGTCCACGAGACTTCCTCCCTCGTTTCGGGTGAAAACGTGCAAAGCTTTCGTCCATCATATGATGGGCGTTTTCACCCGAAACGAGGAAGTCACGTGGACTACGTCGTAAACAAACCAAACAGCTGCAGTATAACGAGATTTATCCGTTCTCATCTGGTGAGATCGACCAACGAATCTCTTCTTCATGCACTTTCATACGAAATAAATGTCCTCTTAATAATTAATAAGAAACAAGCACACTTTCAAATCCTCTGCTTGACCAGCCCTATGTGACCGATAGGAGACTAGGCAATTACGCCGTCACTATATATTAGGCCAGCAAGCCTTCCTGACAAAGGGCGAACGATTTTGGTTGTGGTGCGGGCTTCTTGATGGTCTACGTAACCGTGAGTGCACAATATCGAGTGTCCCTATAAGTAGCATGATTAATATCGACTGAGGTAAATCATATTCAGTTAGTTGAAACATAAAAAAGAAGTCAATTTAATCCAAGCTTATTTGGTTATAAAAGAGTTTTGCGCGATCAATTCGGATAAAGGTCATAAAGCAGTGCAAAAATAAATAAAATAAAATAAATGATAATGGAATTATAAAAATTAAATATTTAATCTTAATTATAAACTATCTTGCCGAGTTTAGCGTCTTCGCACAAGAGATGTAAGGAGAATCTGCGGAAATTATGCTGAACCTTAGAACATGGCCTACGTAATCGATAATGTAAATCATCCAGCCCCCATTTTGAAATCGCTTCATATATAAACAAAAGGCAGCCCCTCTTATCCTAGGATGATAGAAAAAGCAAGGTATAACACAGTTTGTATCCACTTAAGCTTTCTAAAACGAAATTTTCAAAGCTACTCTGGTATCTAAAGTTATTGATGGAAACACAGCGATCAAAGTGCACCCATAGCACCAAAAAATTAGAAACTGTAGGTTACTGCCTTATATGGATTAAGATAATAATTCTGTGTTGATCCTATTGTTGTTTCAATTAAAAGTGTTTGCATAAGGCATTGGTAGAATGGTCTCCATTGAAATTAACAGCAGATTCCCCTTGGTCTGGCCATATTTAGTCTTAGTGAAACACTCATATCAAATAATCAAAAAAGCATAGTTCAAACTCTATATTATAAGAATGCGTCCATACTTTGGCGAAAACAAGATCAACGAACTTCTAAATATAAATTAATTGAACATTAAAGCACCAAGAGATCCTTCAAAAAACCGGCTTCACAATATGCAGAGAAATTTTTATTTGATAATCAATAAATGAAAAATGTATACCTGATAATATATGCATTTCACTATGATGGCCAAAGTGGATGCAAAAGTAGTTGCCTGAAAAGAAGAAAAATGGAGATGATGTTCTTGTT